TTTTCTGATAATAATAACTTAATTATACGACTGAATACATCAGAGTGCTGAGTTTGGTAAATTTATATATATAGCACAAGAACCATTAGTGAAACGAAAAGATCTTTAGATATTTTTGGAATGTAATGATGCTTAATTTTAATGAAGATAATTAATAGAGCACATGCGAGACACATGCAGAGTGTAGAATCTTGTTTTAGCATCTGACATGTTATATTTGCTCTGTTTAGAAATGTACACCGATTAACAGTATCATATGAACATCTGTGATATATACGTGTTCTCATCACTTTCACCTTTCTGTAATAACATTCTGCAGTATTCAGTTCACACCAATAATCCAGTGTACGATTAATGTAATATTTGGTTTTCGTGTGCATCTAGTAAAACAAATATGATATACTGTAGAATACTTTATTTTCGCTTGGAATTTATTTTCGCTATTTCCTGAAGGGATGATTCTGTGAAAATAATATCCTTTTTTTCCTATATTTCCCATTCAACTCATCCAAAATCAGTGAAAATAAATTCCATACAAAACACCCAAAATGCCTTTTCAGCGAAAATTAATTCCAGCTAAAATAAAGTATTTCACAGTATTTCTAAGGTCTATATTTCTGAATAATCAGTTTTGAGTTACCTGGTTGAATTACCACTGAGGAACAATAAAAATGTGGGGGGGGGGGGTATTTTTTTTTCTGATACATGTTTGCTACAAAATCAACACTGCTTCAGTAGCCTAGTTGCCAAGCAACCAAAAACTTACTGGAATTATAAATTGTAATATATATTTGTGTGATGACAAGTCCCCTTATTACTTGTTTAGAATTTTCGGAATGATAATTTTTAGTAATTTCAAATTTAATAGGGGAAACAAATAAATAAAAAAGGATTGCTAACATTTAAAAGGTGCTAAAGGCAAAGTTTTTTCTGATGGGAATATTTTATGAAGTTTATACTTATGTCTGTTATTCTATATTTTTGTCTCCGTACTCAGAATGTGATATTTTCATTTTGGAAATTTTGGAAGCAGAATCTCGGTATCTTTTCAAGCCAATCATGTGCGCCCTTCAATATTTGGTATACTGTAAATACATTAATTATTCACTGGGCTTTAATTTTGCTACTTGCATTATAAAAAAAACTCGTGTGAACATGTAAAAAACAATATACGAATGAATATGTTCAAAATTGTGAAATTAAATGTCTGTGAAAATAAATGATTTTGCTGTATACAGAGGGCGCACTACACATTTATTTCAAGGAAGTACTGGCAATGGGGATAGTTTTTCTAAGTTTAAAGGTACTCTGTTTTGTATATTGCAATATCATTGTGGCATTTTTGTGCAAGTTAGTGCTTGGAATTTGTCAATAAAATGACATTTAATAGCAAAAATGTTTGTATGCAAAGTTTATGTGTGATTGTTACGGTAGTTCAATATAATTTGGCTGGAAAGACTGTTGTCACAGTAATGTGTTAGCTTGCTGCACGATAGTAACAATATGACCGAACCCCACACCCTCCTTGTGGCTTCCGTTGCGAAAGGAAGTTATTTTCACGAGTGATGCAGGGTATTCTGCAGTCGTTTTGGTGTTCAGCCTAAAGGTAAGATTTGAACTTGAGTGTACTAATCATTAACCACTTTGCTACCAGTGTACAAATGGTGAAACCGGGTTAGCACAAAACAACCAATTTATTGATTTTTCTCTCCATTTGTTAAATAGTGATGTACACAATGGTGACTTGATAACAAATGAGATAGACCCTCTCATTTGGTATGAACACCTCATTCTTGGTAGCAGATTGAATAGATCACATAAGTGCACCCATTGATTTTTAACAAAATTCTGCATTCTTTACAAACTATAAAAAGTCTGGGCAGTGTGCACCCTGCCCTGCCATGCTCTGTATTGTACATTTTTTTTTTACACCTTGCCCTGGGAGAACCCTATCTATAAATTAAATTCAGTGATATAGGACAGGTGTACATGGGGATATAGAGGTGCAGAGGTTAAACCATGACATAATAATCAGAATTCCTCGCATAACTAAAGGTACAATGCTGTTATTGTGCTGGATTTTATTGTAAAGATTGCTGCATAGATCTAACTAAAAGCTTTGATCTAAAAAGCAAAGCATTTGAGGTGAAAATACTGTAAACCACTTACTGGGTATTAGTAATTTTGGCAGCTAACAATCTTCACAATTTCATGATTTGTGAGAATGAATTTTGTGAACCCAGTGAGATTTTTATCATTGAACGGAAGTCATCTCTCGCAAAATTATAACAGTATGAATTATTCAAATTAGATTTTGTTAACTATAAATCCCAGTCTAATACTCATTCTTTTTAAAAAGGTAAAAAAGAGCTAAAACCATTAAATATGCAAATTAGACAATTGAACATGTATATGAACTTGTATCGTATTTGCTCTATTAGAAGCACATCATCAATACAAGTGCACAGCACAAACAAATAAATTGCATTTGTTGTATACTCAAGAATCATTAAAATACAATATATATAACAGCGGCAAACATGAATGCAAGCTTTAATGTGCACTAAATACAGACTTTGACGTGATCATCTTAGAAAATATCTAGTTACATGTCAACCTTGCTGGCATGTCATTTTTTAGCTCTGCTGTCATCGCAGATGACCCAGCGGAGCTGTTGGTATGGGGGTCTCTCCGGCGGCATTCGTCTCGTGTCCTGTGTGAAATTTTCCTTTAAATGACTTCTTCTTCAAACGTATTTGACCAATTACATTCATTTGTACCAAAGGTACTTGGGGTGGTCCTCTGTCAGATTTGCTAAAATTAGTGTCAAAATATGCAAATTTGGATTTTTTGTGAATATTTTTGTCATTTTCGACAACTAGTCCGAAACCGTCAACCACAAGCCTTTTAAATGTTTGTAGATGTTATGCACAATAATAAAAGTTGCCACCAAGTATGCACAGTGCAGCAGGTAGTCCAACTAATAGGATTACGGCAACTCATCCATTTTGGGTGGACAAATATTTATTTTCTGTTGAACATTCTTTTGTGAAATTAGTCACAAGATGTGCAATAATTGACCTATACATGTATGAATGCAATGTACAAAATGCAACAGGGGTGGTAATCACAAGATATTGGCGTCAGAATGTTGCCAAGATCTCTTTAGAGATGGTTGTCACATTACATTCTTATATCAGCAATCGCACAAAACAAAATTCAAAACGACATGATGGGATATCTTGATAATCAGCCACCAATAGCAAAATCTATTGTGGCACTAGCATAACATGTCAACAATTTAACTACTGAAATTGGTTCATGACCAACAAACTATCAGACAGAACAAGACATATTAGCAAACTTTACAATTAGTTTTTATTATTGAGCTGATGTACAAAATTTACATTTCAAATTTACAAATATGTTGATTAGTCCCACACTGGCAGATGAGAAGTTATATTTTTAAAACGAAGAAAAAACATTGCACTTCTGTTTAAATATTCACCGGATTAGATAATGCTGACAAGTTAAATAATAAACACAAGTCAAATGGTGACAATCAACGCACGCTGTGCTTCACATATATACCAGGTACATTGCACGATGACTGCCACCCTAAACGTACCTTCACATTTGAATGTTGAATACAGACCCTGCTTGGTTAACAAAGTTATTTTTTTTTTTTTTATCACACATGAATTAAGGCGACATCATACTGAAAGTTCTGCATCAGCACATGCCAATGGTTTTAGTGCAAATAAAATTAGATTAGATTAGACTAATTATTAAAAGTAATGTCTGCCGTCACTATCGCAGCTGTACATCATACCAGGAATTGTAGATATTTAGTACATCCAGCATGTATAATTGCTAATAAATGATAAACTTTGTTAATCAACCAGGGTCTCTAAAGTTCAATATTCTGTGAGAAGGTATTTTTTTAAACTAGTTTTATAAAGCAATATGAGAAAAATGTGATAAATTATATATTAAATGAATGGAAAACAATTGTGGATGTATTAACAGTTTTTTTTTTCATGGAAGAATAATTATTAAACGGCAATTATGGAAATTACAAAAAATTCAACCATTCATTATTATTATCTATATATCCTTGAATTTGTCAGTCTGCCACTAAGGCAGCCATCTTCTTAAAATATCAACACGACATAACAGAAATTGTGATTGGTGAATATTTAGGCCACATGCCACAATCAGGATTTTCTAGCCAATAAGATTTTATGATTGAAAGTCCAAATTTGGACTGTCCGTTGTTGTTATTTTAATTGGCTTGTTTTAGAAAAAGCATGTGGGTTATAGTCTAAATCCAATTTTCATCATTCTGGGTTATATTCTGTGACAGCACAAAAAAGTCTGCAAATAAAAATAAAATTATCCTGCAATTGGTGGAAAATTTCTTTGTATACATGAAAGCAACTATACTGCAAAATAAGTACCAGGAAACAATCTTAAAAACTTTTAGTGAAATGAGTTGGAAATATAATTTACCCACAATGCATCAGTTATAAAAGAACACAACTCAAGATAGGTAAATATGCAAAATAAACTGCCAATTATTGAATGATTGCAATTTCCATAGCAACACAATTAGTGAAACAATCAGATGATATAGGCTACAACTGGCGGGGTGGAAAATGTAAATTGGTCATTTTTTTTTATACCAGGTGCATATTTAATTAATTATTTGCATATTAAACTATGATGTCATTACGAAGGATTGACAGACATCTGTATATTGCAAACCACTTCAATTTTGCGTGACAGATTTTTCCAAATTTCAACAGACAGTGGAAATTTGTTAGCAGGGAAATTTTCTTTGCTGTCCTATGACTTTTGTGATATTTTGTCTTTATGAAAATTCTGGATTTACACTTTAAGTACATAACTAAAACTTTTTTACAATTTTCTATTTTGAATTTTCTGTTTTATACGCAAATAGTCACTGAAATCTTGTTAAAGTGAAAGAGCTACACTCTCGTCAACTGTTCCAAATATCATAGTTACGTAGATCGGAAAACAGGCGGCCATATTTATCTATTGTTTATGAAAAATAAACTATACAATCTGTCGTATTGAACTAAATCTGTGTAAATGACAATTCTAGGTAAATTTCCAACAATACCAGGAGAAGAAAGTAATAGTGTGTAAATATAGACTGTAATAGTTATGACTAAGTTAGGTGTGCTTTCAGGGAGGGCGATGGTATAATAAGCATATTAGAATCATTCTACACCTGTTATTTACTGCCCCATATGTTGTATAGATCAAATCGTCCAATCAATGTTTCCGACCTGACATATCTCAATAATTAGATAAATATACTGTTAAAAACCATTGAAAACTATAAAGTTAAATGTCAAAGGTCATATGAAAT